AGCCTGCTGTAGACGGGGAACATTGCAGCTGCTGCAGCTAACTTACCCATAGGGCTGAAATTGAAAAGGGACTCCGCGGTGTGTAAGTAACTTTCATTGCTCAACGTTCCTCCGCCTCTTAGGCTCACAATCAGTGCGCAACGTGGCACAAAAAATCAAGGTGGTTGCCCTTTAGATCGAAATCGAGATTTTTTATTTAGTTGCTGGCACGTGTATGTTCCACTGAATAACCATGGAACTGTTGAGCACCTGCATAAGTGAAATTTGATTGAGTAGTTATCTTACGATTTTTCAATGCAATCTCTCGAGTTTCCCAAAATAAACTATTCTACTCGAGTAAGTGGAAAAAATTGTTAAACGTGTTGATTCAGTTTCTCTAGGATGGGCCATGTATGCATGGCACACTACGAATTATGCCAACATTTGTAGCGATGTCCACATTGCACATTAAGTAGTGAGGCTGACTGAATCGAAGAGCAATTTTCACCTAGCATCAGGCAAAACCTTATACATTTATGGGGGATACATTTAGCCGAAATAGACCCAGTTCTGACCATGTAACTCGTTCATTCCACTAAGCACATTACTTTCAAGAGTATCAAAAGTGAACGTAGCCTTAGTCATGCCAGCCGCAACTTTATCTAGCTACTCACTGGGAGAGCTCACCAGTCCAAATCTTCTGCGGGTCCCAATGTCGCAAGAAGATTGCAACGCTAGGAGGCACTCCCTAAAAGGAATATTTGAAATAGAGCTTCCAATCACTGCCCTCATCCTACCACGGACGAGGAAAGGTGAACTCTTACGCTAAAATCTCCAGTGTGGTTGGAAGCAGGAAGCCTGGTAAATCGTGCATAAAGTGTACTGGAGAGTTGAGAATGATTTCAAAGAAAACTATTTGTTTAAGCAGAAGCAATAAAGGTTGATAATCAATTGATAATAATTTTTAATTGCACGTACACGCTCTGTGGGACATAGGACGAGAGATAGATCTTGGAAAAGTCAGTAAAGTTACAGAGAAATCTAAATAATGAAGTAGGTCTACTACAAGTTGGGTATGGCTGAAACTTTTCAAAGCGTTGCACATACAAAGTAGACGGGACATTCAAGTGGTAATGGAACGCATGGCGCATCACATGCGGATCGATAAACACGGATCAGAACGGAATCCCACCGGTAGAATTTTCGTCTACTTTATTACTAGCCCAGCTTTTCGATTCTCTCTTCCCGAAAGGACAGGATTTAGGCCATGAAGTAGCAATCGAATTCCTCCTAACTTGAATTTGCGTTTCAAATTTTTTTTCTCATTGCGGAAGGGTGAAGGTGGCGGAAGGGACGGGAATTGAGTTGGGGTGCATGAGGTCTATAGAGACCCCGGTGGAATCACCTTCCTATCACTTCTGCAGCATCAGTCTTACTTTTGCCGCATGTGAGCGTCGTCGTGGGAGCGGTGCTTCGGGTCCCTCTCGAGCCAATTGCTGGGATCGTTAGAAACCTACTGCAGCTGTCCTTCTGAATATACTGATTTTAAAAAGGAAAACACTCGACACACTTTTGGTAAAGGAAGGAATCTGAGGGGTGAATAGTTAGCGTGGCCGGACATTTAAGTGGGGATTTCCATATGCTTTATCTCTGATCCCCCCCGCAGAATTAAAGCGTCTCTAAAAATATTGTCACAAAAAGGTCGGGTTATGCGAAACTTTCGACCAGCCTTACGAGTTTTCGATTAAAGGCAAATTACGGGCTCAGACCCACTTAATGAGCCTTTACGGTGGCTAGAAGCGCTAGGTACGCAAGTGCAGAGGTCGCGTCACTTCCCTACTTCGAAAAGCGTTACTTAGACGCTAGGCGCTAAAACTTTGGCACGCTCCACCAGTGTGACACGCTCCGCCCACCGCTCGATATCTTGTCGACTCGATCAAATTGAAAGGCATCTAAAGGAAACACAACGGCAGCCGAAGCTGTAGGTGGAATTATAGGTGGAAAACCCTTTGTGCTTTGAGATGGACGTTATCCCATCACGGGTTCCCTGGCCCTGCTCCGGAACAGCAAGTGAACAGACAGACCATGAAGAACCTCGGGCCAGCTTCCTCAAACAAACGGTTTCTCAAATTCAAGACCACGAGCGTTAAAAAAATTTGCTGGCATTTCAATCGCCATT